CCGCACGACCCATCACCTCCCGCTGCGTTTTCTCCCCCCCCCACCCCCACGTGGCTTATCAAACAACCAAATATTAATTAATATTTTTCGAAATACTTTTGTAACAATCTGCGATCAGCCCCTTTGACATCTCTTTTTGAAACACGTTGAAGTTAGTACTTCGAAAGCTCAGTATTTCCGAATTTCTTTTTCACAATTTTTTAAAACAATTCATTTTTTTTTAAATACTTTTATTCCTTTCCAAATATCTTTGGAACTACTTTTACAATTCAACTACGATTTTTCTGAAATTTTGAATTTGAAAATTTCGCTTCACATTGATTATTTCGAAAATTTCAATTCCCGATTTTAATTAATTCCACTTGCTTTTTCGACATTTTCAAAATTTAATTTTGAATTTAATTCGAAATTTCTTTTCAATTTTTTTTTCTTTCTTTAAATCAAATAAATTGGAATCTAATTTTGTAAACCCTTGAATTAATGACAATTTAGTTTAAAATTTAAAATTTTCTTTCATCTTTGATTTTTCCTTCACACATCTGGCCCGAAAATTTTCCTCCTTCTTCGGCAATTACAAAATAAATTTGAAATTAAATTCTCCCTTTAAAATTAATTATTCTTTTTTTAAGTTTTAATTTAAAAACTTTAAACATAACTATTTTATCAGAAATAATTATTCCACGACTTTAATTTGAACTATTTTAAAAATTAATTAATCCTTTTTCCTTATATGCTCTTAATTCCTTTTAATAAATCCATTTTCAAAATTTGAATTTTTGCAACGGAATTTCGAATTTTAATTTAAATAACATTATTTTTGCAATTAATTATTTTCGATTTTCTCAGAAAATTTCCCAACATTTCTGAAATTTCTGAAAATTTATAATCTCCCATTCGACTCCTCCCAAAAAAAAAATTCTCCCATCAYCCCGAATCAATTTCGAATAAAATTTAATTTTATTCTAAATTAATTCCCCCCCCCCCCCCCCCCTCTCCGTATGATCCGTCATACCAAGAACTCCCAACGCGCTGCCGCCGACGCCGTTGTCGCGGCCGCCGCCGCTGCTACTGCTACCACATCCTCCACTGCTGCTGCCTTTTCCCCTCCGTCTTCCCCCGCCTACTCATCTTCACCCACCCCAATGGACGAAGGTACCTCAAGCATCAACATGGGCTCGCTCCACATGGATTCCGTCGAGGACATCCACCGCGAGCTTGTCGACCAGCCAGGCACTGGGAAAACACATCTCTTCTCTCCATGTTTCGAACACTCTCTACCTCGCCCCACAACATTGAGGCTTCCATAACCTCCATATCCAGTCGTGTCACCTCCCTCGAAAACCACGCACCCGCCATCACCGTCGTCACGAAGTCATCACCCCCTCCTCCTCCGGCCAATCCATCCAATCCTCCTCCTCCGGCCAACCTGGCCAAACCCTTCCCGCCAGCCAAGCCGGCCAGACCTCACCCTCCAACTCCACCCCCCCACCGTCCTCCACCACACCTTCTTCCACCCCCGTCATTTCCCTCTCCGTTTCTCTCCCCTCCTCACAACCGACCACAAGCACTTCCACCACTACACAAATCACTCCCTTCCGCCTCTCCTCCCCCCTCCCCCAGCCTATCCTAACTACTTCCACCGTCCCCTCTGTCCACCCCTCTTACTCATAAGTCCTTTCGGGCGTTTAACCTGCCATACCCCAACCTCCTCCTTGCTACCTCGTTGGTGATCGTAGTCAAGATCACACCTGCTACGACACCTCCCACGACACCTCCCCCGACGACCTTAACTTGAACACCCTCGCCTGCCTCGTTCCCCGCAACGGGGAGATTCCTCGCTCTTTCCGCACCGCCGATATCTCGACGTTCTCAGGCCTCCCCCATGAGGATGTCCTCATCTTCCTCTCCCAACTCCAAAACGCCTTCCATTTCCACAACTTGCCCCTCGCTCATTGGCTCCCTGCCGCAACCTCCCGCCTTCAGGGCTCCGCCGCTCAATGGTGGTCAACCGAAGCCAACAACCGCCGAAGCAACGGCCTTTCCCGCCACTCCTTTGTCCAATGGGTCGATCTTCTCATCACCACCTTCCGTTCGCAAAAGACCATCGATGATTACATCGATCAATTTTGCAACCTCCGCCAAACCGGCCCCACCGAGCGATTCATCCAATACGTTCGCTCCCTTCGCCACCACATCGGGGCGACTCTCGTTTCCGACTATGTCTTCATCTCCCGCATCAAGCGGGTATGCTTCCCCCACCTCGCTGCAGCCCTCGCTCATGAGCTCGAGCTCCCTCTTACCGATCTCCTTAACCGCCTTCTCCACCATGATCGCCTTCTGCACATCCGCTCTCAACGACCAATCCCACCCACCCGTTCTAGGTTCTTCCATAACATGGTCTCCGATGACTCATCTTTACCCTCCGACGACAGCCTTGACTCCTCGCCCGGGTCCCTCGACCCATCCCAATTCACCGAGGAAGACTTTCAGGCTGTCCACCTCATGAGGATGGAACGGCAACGTCTTGCCTCCCAGCCTTCCTCCTCCTCCCAAACCCCTCGTCTCAGAAAGCTCACCCCCGCCGAACGCGCCTATCTCCAGGCCAACGGCGGTTGCTTCCGTTGCCGCCAGTTGGGGCATCAAGAAACCAATTGCCCCAAGGCCGGCCGCTCCACTCACCACGCTTCCCGCCCCACCGGCTCTAGCCCTCCCACATCCTCCTCCGCCGCCGCCACTGCGGCCTCCGGACCCTCCTCCACTTAAACACTGTCCCCCTGCCCCTTCTAGCCATAACCCGGCATCGATCACTAATCTGTCGCCCCCCCCATCCATGACGACCCCTACCCCACCGATGACCCATTTGGTATTGACAATTCGTCTGCCAACCCCTCCTCCGGTGACGACTTTCCCACCGAACACTCCCCAGGCGTCGCAGTCTACTCCGTCTGCCCCCCTTTCGACGACGTCCTCTATTCCGTCGGCTGAGCACCCCACGGCCACATGTTCCACTATCCTCCTCCCTAACCCCTCCACGATCACTTTCTCCGATCTCGTTGAGGAACAAGACCGACACACTCGGCTTGTTAGATTAGGCCTCAAGCAGTGACGCCTCAACGCCATGATCTCCTCCGCTGGTGTCGGGACCGCCCAGTTCCAACTCAAGTTCGTCGTCGTCTCCCTTGGTGCATCAAAGGTGAAGTTTCGGGCCCTTCTCGACATTGGTGTCACCGACAACTTCATCACGGATGCCTGTGTCCGCAAAGTCGGTCTCTCTTCCACCGGTTATGATTCCCCGATCATCATCCGCCTAGGGGATAAGGACTCAGCCATCGTCGTTGACTGCACAGTCCCCGAGACGACAATGACTGTCGGCCCTCTTCGCAGTCAAGTCTCCTTCGATGTCATGCACCTCATGTGCGACATCGTACTCGGGACTCCTTGGCTCGACTGCTACATGCCCTACACCTTCCACCCTTCCTTCGTCCGCCTCTCCACCCCCCTCGATCCAACCCTTGACATCCTCTACCTTCTCCCTCCCTCCACCCCTTCTCCCGTCTCTCCTCACGAATTTCTTCACATGACCCGTGAACACCCTGACTCCGCCTACAATTGCCTTCTCACTGACCGCAAGCGTCCTGAGGACTTGCTCCGTAAGGCTCTCCCATCGCTGATCGGAACGGACTTGGAAGAGAATTTTACGCGAACTTCTAAGTCTGGGACGACCTGTCCGTAGTGGGAGACTCCCGTGAGGCTCTCCCATCGCTGATCTGACCAGACTTGGAAGGGATTTAAGTACTCACCGTGTGAGTACGCAAACTTCTAAGTATGGGACGACCTGTTCGTAGTGGGAGACTCCCATGAGGCTCTCCCATCGCTGATCTGACCTGACTTGGAAGGGAATTAAGTACTCACCGTGTGAGTACACGAACTTCTAAGTCTGGGACGACCTGTCGGGGTCGACCTGAAGGCAGTAGGAGACTCCCGTGAGGCTCTCCCATCGCTGATTTGACCAGACCTGGAAGGGAATTAAGTACTCACCATGCGAGTACGCGAACTTCTAAGTCTGGGACGACCAGTCCGTGGTGGGAGACTCCCGTGAGGCTCTCTCGTCAATGATCTGACCAGACTTGGAAGGGAATTAAGTACTCACCATGTGAGTACGCGAACTTCTAAGTCTGGGACGACCTGTCCGTAGTGGAAGACTCCAGTTCGGCTCTCCCATTGGTTATCTGACCACACTTGGAAGGGAATTAAGTACTCACCGTGTGAATACGAGAACTTCTAAGTCCGGGACGACACGTCCGTAGTGGGAAACAATGGTGAGGCTCTCCCACCGCTGATCTGACTAGACTTGGAAGGGAATTAAGTACTTACCATGTGAGTACGCGAACTTCTAAGTCTGGGACGACTTGTCCGTAGTGGGAGACTCCCGTGAGGCTCTCCCATCGCTGATCTGACCAGACTTGGAAGAGAATTAGGTACTTACCGTCTGATTTCTAAATCAGGGACGAGCTGTCTGGGACGACCTGTCCGTAGTGGGAGACTCCCATGAGGCTCTCCCATCGCTGATCTGACCAGACTTGGAAGGGAATTAAGTACTCACCGTGTGAGTACGCAAACTTCAAAGTCTGGGACGACCTGTCTGTAGTGGGAGACTCCCGTGAGGCTCTCCCATCGCTGATATGACCAGACCTGGAAGGGAATTAAGTACTCACTGTCCGAGTACGCAAACTTCTAAGTCTCGGACAACCTGTCTAGGACGACCTGTCCGTAGTGGGAGACTCTCGTGAGGCTCTCCCGTCGCTGATCTGACCACACTTGAAAGGGAATTAAGTACTCACCGTGAGAGTACGCGAACTTTTAAGTCTAGGACGACCTGTCCGTAGTTGGAGATTATCGTGAGGTTCTCCCATCGCTGATCTGACCAGACTTGGAAGGGAATTAAGTACTCACCGTGTGAGTACGCAAACTTCTAAGTCTTGGACGACCTTCTAAGCCGACCTGAAGGGGGTCGGACTCACCGTGTGAGTATGTGAATTTCGAAGTCAGGGACGACCTGTCCGTACTGGGAGATTCCCGTGAGGCTCTCCCATCACTTATCTGACCAGACTGGTGAGTACGCAAACTTCTAAGTCTACGACAACCTGTCCGCAGTGGGAGAGTCCTGGAGGCTCTACCATCGCTGATCTGACCAGACTTGGAAGGGAATTAAGCACTCACCGTGAGAGTACACGAACTTCTAAGTCTGGGACGATATGTCCGTAGTGGGAGAATCTCGTGAGGCTCTTCAATCCCTGATCTGACCAGAATTGCCATGGAATTAAGTACTCACCGTGTGAGTACGCAAACTTCTAAGTCTGGGACGACCTGTCTCGGACGACCTGAAGGTAGTGGGAGACTTTCGTGATGGTCTCCCATTGTTGATCTGACCAAACTTGGAAGGGAACGCGAACTTCTAAGTTGGGAACGACCTGTCTGTAGTGGGAGACTCCCGTGAGGCTTTCCCATCGCTTTTGTGACCAAACTTGGAAAGGAATTAAGTACTCACCGTGTGAGCATACGAACTTCTAAGTCTGGGACGACCTGTCTGTCGTGGGAGACTCGCGTGAGGCTCTCCCATCGCTGATCTGACCAGATTTGGAAGGGAATTAAGTACTCACCGTGTGAGAATGGGAGTTTCTAAATCTGGGATGAGCTGTCTAGGACAACATGTGCGTAGTGGGAGACTCCCATCAGGCTCTCCCATCGCTGATCTGACCAGACTTGGAAGGGAATTAAGTACTCACCGTGTAAGTACGCGAACTTCTAAGTCTGGGACGACTTGTTTGTAGTGGGAGACTCTCATGAGGTTCTCCCATCGCTGATATGATCAGACTTGAAGGGAATTAAGTACTCACTGTGCGAGTACGTGAACTTCTAAGTCTTTGACAACCTGTCTGGGACGACCTGTCCGTAGTGGGAGACTCCCGTGAGGCTCTCCCATCGTTGATCTAACCACACTTGGAAGGAAATTAAGTACTCACCGTGAGAGTACGCGAACTTCTAAGTCTAGGACGACCTGTCCGTAGTGGGAGATTCCCGTGAGGTTCTCCCATCGCTGATCTGACCAGACTTGGAAGGGAATTAAGTACTCACCGTGTGAGTACGCAAAATTCTAAGTCTGGGACGACCTGTCTAAGCCGACCTGAAGGGGGTCGGACTCACCGTGTGAGTATGAGAATTTCGAAGTCAGGGACGACCTGTCCGTAGTGGGAGCCTCCCGTGAGGCTCTCCCATCGCTGATTTGACCAGACTGGTGAGTACGCAAATTTCTAAGTCAGGGACGACCTGTGCGTAGTGAGAGACTCCCGTGAGGCTTTCCCATCGCTGATCTGACCAGACTTGGAAGGGAATTAAGTAATCACCATGTGAGTACGCCAACTTCTAAGTCTGGTACGAGCTGTCTAAGCCGACCTGAAGGGGTTCGGACTCACCGTGTGAGTACGCGAATTTCTAAGTCAGGGACGACCTGTCCGTAGTGAGAGAATCTCGTGAGGCTCTTCCATCGTTGATCTGACCAGACTGGTGAGTACACAAACTTCTAAGTCTAGGACGACCTGTCGATAGTGGGAGACTCCCATGAGGCTCTACCATCGCTGATCTGACCAGACTTGGAAGAGAATTAAGCACTCACCGTGAGAGTACACGAACTTCCAAGTCTGGGACGACTTGTCCGTAGTGGGAGACTCTTGTGAGGCTCTCCCATCGCTGATCTGACCAGAATTGGAAGGGAATAAAGTACTCACTGTGTGTGTACGCGAATCTCTAAGTCTGGGAGGACCTGTTTGGGACGACCTGAAGGTAGTGGGAGACTCTCATGACGCTCTCCCATTGTTGATCTGATGTGACTTGGAAGGGAATTAAGTACTCACCGTGTGAGTACGTGAACTTCTAAGTCGAGGACGACCTGTCCGTAGTGGGAGACTCCCGTGAGGCTCTCCCATCGCTGATCTGACTAGACTTGGAAGGGAATGAAGTACTCACCGTATGAGTACACGAAGTTCTAAGTCTGGGACGACCTGTCCGTAGTGAAAGATTCCTGTGAGGCTCTCCCATTGCTGATCTGATTAGACTTGGAAGAGAATTAAGTACTCAGCGTGTGAGTACGGGTACTTCTAAGTCAAGGACAACATGTCTGGGACGACCTGTATGTAGTGGGAGACTCCCGTGAGCGTGTGAGTACGGGAACTTCTAAGTCTGGGACGACCTGTCCGTAGTGGGAGACTTCCGTGAGTCTTTCTTATCGGTAATCTAACCAGACTTGGAAGGAGATTAAGTACTCACCATGGGAGTACGCGAGCTTCTAAGTCTGGGACAACCTGTCCGACTTTCTGTTGGAGTCGGCATACCTTTTTTGCTCATCTACGATGCATTGGAAAGATAGGTGAACGCTCCGGACAACTCATCTTAGGGCTGTTTTGACTGATCTCTTACGCATCGAACTGGTAGTAGGATAACTCCCGTGGGGTCATTCGAATACTTGTTTGATCTGGGGGGGGGGTCGGTTAAGGGAGGAAAGGAATGAGATGATTGTGTTTTGGACAGTAGAGGAATACTTTCGGGTGAGTAACCCTACTACTTGTTTGAGTATGATTAATGGGTGGCACGTCTAATTACTAACGACCAATCTATTTAACTTTGGATCAGGTTACGGGAAGACTCCCGTGGGGCCATCCTATCGCTTATCAAGAGGATGGTAGTCGCGGTCATTCAAGTAGTAGTAGTAGGAAGATTCCCGTTGGGCCATCTTATTACACTTTTTGGCGTAGGCTAAGTACTATATCGATCCCCAACGTCCGTACCCCCCGTCTGACATATCGAGTCAACCACAACAATAAAAAGGCGATGAGGCAAAGATTAAACGAATGGCACAGGAAAACGAAACAGAACATGGGGCAACAGAACATGATTGCCATAATAATAATAAAAAAAAAAAAAAAAAAAAAAAACGAAAAACTCCCGATCCTGGTTTGACAACCAGAAGAAAAGACAATCTCGGATAACGAATCAGTTACAACTCCCCCGAATCGAAACCTCTTTCGTGCAAGGTTGGCCACGTGGATGTTGGTCGACTGTAGGTTGCCCCCACCCCAGTGTATCCTATCAACCCACTTGCACACAGCCAGCAGGCGAATAGGTATAGAAAAGAGGAAGGAAACCACCAAACATCACCCAACAGCGGGCACAAGTCCGGCACACATGAAGAAAGAGAAGGACGAAAGAAGAAGAAGAACAAAAAGAAAAAGAAGAACAAGAA